ACTATCACTACATTGCTGCAGCTGCCGCTACCCCTCTACCTCCACTACACCACCCTTTCCACCATCACCACAACCACTATACCACCACCTCCACCATAGCCAACCATCTCTCCACCACCACTACTACAACCACCCTCCATCTCCTTTAGCATCACCACAGCTACCATAATCGCCACTATTATTCCACCACCACCATCACTATCACTACACCATTGTCGCTGCCGCTGCTACCCCTCTACCTCCACTACACCACCCTCTCCACCATCACCACAACCACTATCCCACCACTGGCACCATAGCCGCCACCACTACCACATCTACCACCCCAACCTCAGCACAACACTATAAAAATTGAAAAATAAAATCTAAAAATAAAAAAAATTATCTTATACTTATCAAACTACTTATTTTAGTTCATCATCTAAATTTTTATCAAACATTTTTTTGACGTAAAAAATTAGCATTCAAATGAAATTTCACTCCAGCGGGATGGGAGTTCCATTCCTCCTATCAACGCATAAATTCACAAAATCAAAATCATCTTGACATGTACACCAAAGGACATTATTAATAGAGAGGATGGATGGTTGGGTTGGGTTGGGTTGGGTTGCATGGAACGTTGTCTCACTTATTACTCATTTCCTTTTCTTGTCATCAGCTTTGATTAGAAGAACAGGCGATGCTGGTATTCTGACCCACCATTCTCTTATCCGCCTCAGCCATCGGTCCCTACTGGCTTTCCTCAATGGCATCTCCCTAGTGAAGGACTCAAGGAACACCAACAAGGTTAAGTGTCTTAAAGGTACAATTGCCAACAACACAGCCACAAAAACTAACAAGAAAGCAATACCGTCTGTAGCTTGAAATGGAAATGAGAAGAAAGTTGAAAGCAGGAATCCAAGAAACATATCTTTTAGACAAGCATTTGGCATCGTTTTCAGTTTTCTATCTTAAGAAACAGAAAAATGCTGGAAAAACATTTGGCAAACTGTTTTCGGGAACGTTTTCTGTAAACACTTCATTTTTTAGGAAACACCTATAGTTGTTTTTGTGAATTTTGGATAACTGTTTTTGCAACAACAAAAAAAATGAAAAAAATATATGATGGATGGGTGTTCTTCAATGTTTTATTATTTTGTTCCCAATGACGTGAAAACAAAAAACAAAAACAAAGAAGATGAACATGATACCAAACAGCCCCAACTTCGAAAAGAAAAAAAACATGGTACTCAACTAGCCCCAACTTCGAAAAGAAAAAAAACATGGTACTCAACTTGTTCATGTAGCTTGTACTATAAATGATTACTAGTATCATCATGACAAAATTTGAGAGAACTTATATTTATCCACTAGTATCATCATGACAAAATTTGAGAGAACTTATATTTATCCACAAAAAAAAACCAGTGTCTCCAATGACAATTATTATGGGAGAGCAGCAGTAGCTATAGCAAAAAAAAAAACATTTGATGAATTGGGCAGGAGTACAAAATCATTCATCTGGAATACAAATATCAGGTTTTATTTATTTTCTTTCTTATTCTCTCTCATCCTTTTTTACCCTTAATCTACCAGAACAGTTCAGGTAAAATCGGGTTGAATATCATACCTAGAAATTATCTGAACTACCAGCAAGAAAAAACTTGCAAAATCACACAACTGAGTGTATGCTATCATAGCTTTAAATAATTGTATATAACATTGCGAATTGAGAGGCCAAATACCTGTGGAAGTGCAGCAAATAGGAGAGCTCTAACTTCAGTAAAGTAATATTTCCAGCTTGTATTAGAGATTCAACTTGAGTGATGGCTTCTTGTAATGTCAGCAGCTGCTCTGCTGCATTTTCATTTAGGGGAATGGTAATTTTAAATGCTTCCACTGGCCTCTCTTTCTTTATATGCCCATACCAGAGCATGAGAACTGCAAGAACTACAAAAATGGAGGGCAGTATATACCTGATCCATCCCCTGCAAATCATAATGAGTCATTTTATTAAATTTCTTTCTTCAAGAAGAAATGAACAGACCAAAAAAACAGTCCACCAAAGGGATATTAGAAGGATGTCAAACCTACATCGGTAAAATCCCATCTCAGAATTAGCATGAAAAGTCCAATTTCTTTAAACTAACTTCCTTTTCAAACTTTAAAATTAGAAGGAAAGGAAGAGAAGTTAAATTCTCAATTCCATCATTTTAAGGAACATTTTGGCCTGCAATCTGTTATCCAGAAGCATTTACTGTAGAATTACAACACAAAGCTTCAAAATATATTCTTTCACAAAAGCAAAAAAAAAAAAAAAAAAAAAATTGGGCTTTCTAGGTAAGGCTTTCTGTTGACTCAAAAGATCTTTGATGGAAGTTAACCAAGATAAAATACAGAAGTATGATAGAATATCTATCATCCAAATAAATCATTTTTTGTACTTCAGAAAAGTCTTTAATCCAATAACAAAAGACTTCTCCATTCATAATAATGTCAATAGCAAGTGAAACACAATTGCTTAATCTTCCTATTCTAATTTAATTGATATCCATTTCCATTTATTGTGAACGAGAGAGGCCTTTTTGTGTTATTACTACACATCTTTCTAATGAGAAAAGAGAACACTTCAAATAAAGCCCGAGGAAAGAAAGTTCCGTTTTACCAATTTTATCTTTATTCATCTACTATAAACTAAATTCAATCTACCTGCAATGAACCTTTAAAATTGTTGGCCTTAGAGCTATTCTACTACATTACACGGACTCGTCAGTTTTGGCGAAGTACCGTCTCGATACGACACGACACGGGTACGGGATACGGCATAGAAGAAGTGGATACGGCATGAAAGAAGTAGATATGGCATATGGAAGTAAGAAGAAAGATGGCATACCTAGGATTAGGGCTACGAAAACTGAGATTAGGCCTTCGATCCTGCGATTAGGGCTCCGATCTTCTTTCGAACTGTCTTCTTCTCTCTCTCACTCTCACGCTCGATTGTTCTCTTCGTCTATCTCTTCTCTCACTCTCGATCATCTTCATCTCTCTCTTCTCTGTTTCGATCAACGTCGTCTCTCCCTTCTCTCTGTTTTCTCTCTTTTCTTCTCTCCCTTCTCTCTGTTGACCGTCTTCTCTTCTTTCTTCTTTTTAATGGGTGCGTATTATATTTAAATGGGGATCCACCAATAAATCCCAAATTAATAACTTATGCACTGTTTAGTCCTAAAAGTTTTTTTATAGACTGAAAGGTCCCATTACAATGTTAATAACATCAGATACAATGTTAATAACATCAGAGTCATGTTACAAACATTGGATTTCAAACATCTAATGTTCATCAAATTTCAATAATGTTTGAAAATATAGGATGAAAAACATCTAATGTTCATCAAATTTCAATAATGTTTGAAAATATAGGATGAAAAACATCTAATGTTCATCAAATTTCAATAATGTTTGAAAATATAGGATGAAAAACATCTAATGTTCATCAAATTTCAATAATGTTTGAAAATATAGGATGAAAAACATCTAATGTTCATCAAATTTCAATAATGTTTGAAAATATAGGATGAAAAACATCTAATGTTCATCAAATTTCAATAATGTTTGAAAATATAGGATGAAAAACATCTAATGTTCATCAAATTTCAATAATGTTTGAAAATATAGGATGAAAAACATCTAATGTTCATCAAATTTCAATAATGTTTGAAAATATAGGATGAAAAACATCTAATGTTCATCAAATTTCAATAATGTTTGAAAATATAGGATGAAAAACATCTAATGTTCATCAAATTTCAATAATGTTTGAAAATATAGGATGAAAAACATCTAATGTTCATCAAATTTCAATAATGTTTGAAAATATAGGATGAAAAACATCTAATGTTCATCAAATTTCAATAATGTTTGAAAATATAGGATGAAAAACATCTAATGTTCATCAAATTTCAATAATGTTTGAAAATATAGGATGAAAAACATCTAATGTTCATCAAATTTCAATAATGTTTGAAAATATAGGATGAAAAACATCTAATGTTCATCAAATTTCAATAATGTTTGAAAATATAGGATGAAAAACATCTAATGTTCATCAAATTTCAATAATGTTTGAAAATATAGGATGAAAAACATCTAATGTTCATCAAATTTCAATAATGTTTGAAAATATAGGATGAAAAACATCTAATGTTCATCAAATTTCAATAATGTTTGAAAATATAGGATGAAAAACATCTAATGTTCATCAAATTTCAATAATGTTTGAAAATATAGGATGAAAAACATCTAATGTTCATCAAATTTCAATAATGTTTGAAAATATAGGATGAAAAACATCTAATGTTCATCAAATTTCAATAATGTTTGAAAATATAGGATGAAAAACATCTAATGTTCTTTCTATAATAAATATATTTTAAAAATTAAATATTTAATGTATCCTCGTACCCGTATCCTCGTACCCGTATCCTCGTTTGGATCCATATTCACGTATCCTCAATTTTTAATTTTGAAGTACCCGACCCCTAGATACATACCCGCACCCGATACCTGCACCCAAGTCCGTGTAACATAGTAGGCATGTGACTTCTGGTTTGAACAGCCACTTTGCGCAAATGATGCAAAGCTTCAGTGGTTGTTTAGGAAACCACAGAACCGGTTTTGTTGGATGATTTGAAGCCTTGTTCGATTAAATCCAACAAGATTAGAAAATAGATTTCTCAGGTCCTTCATATATAAAGCAGCACTAATTTTTTTTTTTTTTTTGTGGTGAGGTTAGTATAGATATAAAAACCAGACAAGGCTTGTCAACATTGATCAGGTCAATGGAATTCATTTGCATAGGAAATTCAGAAAATGAAGCAGGCATGTAATTCTTTAGAGTTGAATACCTTTCTTTTTTTAATTGGAAGGAAATATGATTTTTCCTTTTTGATGAGGATTTATTCTTCTGTGATTTCTGCATCCATTGTTCTATTGATTCCAAATAAAAAAAATAAAAATAATGTGTTTTACTTTGATGTTCAGACAGGACCAAGGATTGGAAGTGATATTAGAAGGTTTGGATACATTGAAAAACATGGCCCATGATTTGAATGAGGTTTCCTACTACCTTATGCATTTGTATCTGTTGCTTTGTCCCATTTTGTGCACATCAATTTTTGACTTTGCAATTCATACAGGAAATGGATAGGCAAGTTCCTTTAATGGACGGATTGACACTAAGGTTTGAGAACACATCCTGTCCCAGTAATATCTGAAGCTACAAGTATTCTTAAATTATTAATAGTGTATTTTCACACCCTACAGGTCGACAATGCAGCATCTGACTGTGTTTTACTTTGATGTTCACATAGGACCAAGGATTGGAAGTGATATCAGAAGATTTGGATAAATTGAAAAACATGGCCCATGATTTGAATGAGGTTTGCTACTGCCTTGTGCATTTGTATCTGTTGCTTTGTCCCATTTTGTGCACATTGATTTTTGACTTTGCAATTCATATAGGAAATGGATAGGCAAGATTTTATTGAAAAACATGGCCCATCTAATAAGATTTTATTTTGTATTTGTATTTCCTTTTTGGTTTAGGAGTTAGGGCTATATATTCTAAGGTCTGATTATAATGGACACACATTGAATATATGAGATACAGAAAGCCATTCAGAAATCTTACATGGTATCAGAGTCGTTCTCTGATCCGAAACCCTAGAGCCGTCTCCATTACTCTCTTGTTCGTGCTTGCTTCTCCCAGGCTCATTCTGGTTCGACTTTGGTGTGTGATTGTGCCTTATCTCAGTCGACTCATCTGCTCATTCTGGTTCATGACCCATCTGCTCGTGATTGTGCTTGTCTCAGTCAACCCATCTAGATTTCTTCTCTGTGTGCGCTATTTGGTAGTCGCACCCATCCAATGGTTCTACCCATCTAGTCATCGCCTCCTCACAGCTCGTCTTCTCTCTCTGGCTCTCCTTCGTGGTCAACCCATCTTGGTTTTGCAAGACTTCGACCCATCTCTAATTCAGTCTGTCGAAACCCCTAGTTCTCTCTCTGGTTCGAAGCTCTCTAGACAAATTTCGCGACCTAGCTGATTCGCAAGTCTTTGACTCGCGACTTCTTCTCGCTGCTCTCTACCTCGCGATTGTCCTTGGTGTATGGTCCTCTGGTCGCTTCGTCGCATCTGTTGGTTGCATCGAAGTGAAGTTACCTCTCAGCTTCTCTCACTTGAAAGGGTTATGTTTGAAGCTGGTTCGACCCATTGGATTTTTGCATCTGAAATCCTCTAATATTGGATTATTGTCATATTATTTTCTGATATTGCATTTAGACCTCATTCTCTTTTGGTTCTTACATTGTGATGTTGGATATATTGGTTTTGTTGCCCCCATTAGCTTTCAGTTTATTATGATGATGACAGTTTCTGCTTCTGTAAAGCCCAAGAAAGAGCTCCTTGCTTTAGATGAGTATGCCTACTGCCATCAAAGGGTCATTAGAAGTACTATTGTCCCAAGAATGGATGTTTGTCTGTTCAGTCTCCTGCCAATTTTACTGCATCTGCTCCGACTCCTGATCCTGACTTGACTTCCTTGACTACTCAGATTAGTCAGCTTCGGCATATATTGTCTAACTCCCAGCCATCCCAATCTACCTCCATTGTTTCCTCTCTTCATTTAGGTTTGCTTGGGTCTTCTTCAGGTATTTCTTCGTCTGTCTAGCTTTTTTACTCTGGTGCCTCTCATCATATGACTCCATATCTCTTCTTACTTCAAAATTGCACTCATTCTCTTTTTCTATTACTGTCAATGCTGCTAATGGGTCTGGTATGTCTGTTATATATGTTGGGTCTGTCCTACCGTCTGCTATGTCTGTTATCTCTATTCCATCTGTTCTTTATGTTCCTCAATTATCTGTCAGTTTATTATCTATCAGTCAACTTGACGCCTCTGGTTTTGATGTTAACTTTTCCTCTTCTATTTATTCTGTGCAGGATCGGATGTCTAAGCAGCAGATTGGGACTGGTCGTAGAGTTGGGGACCTCTATGTAGTAGAGAGCTTGCATTGGCCTTTGACAACCTTTCCGACTGCCTTTTCCTCTTTTCAGTTAGATTCTCTGTCCAGTCCTTTCTACTTGTGGCATTCTAGATTAGGGCATTTGTCTGCTAACCACTTACGGTCTTTGGCTCAATCAGGTATCTTGGGAAAAGTTTCTCCTAGTGAACTTACTGAATGTCAAGGATGTAAACTCGCCAAGATGACCGCCTTACCTTTTCGTAAAAGCATTTCTATATCTGATACACCATTTTCTTTAGTTTATACTGATGTTTAGGGCCCTTCTCCTGTTCTCACCAAAGAGGGTTCTGCATACTATGTGTCATTTGTTGATGACTGCACCCGTTACACTTGGGTTTATCTTAAGACTCATAAGTCCGATTTTTATCAAATATACCGTACCTTTCAATCTATGATTACTACACAGTTTGGGTCTACTATTAAAGTGTTACGGTCTGACTTGGGTGGGGAATATTTTAAAACTGAGTTTTGTGAGTATTTGGCCAATTTGGGTACCATTCACCAAACTTCCTGTACAGATACACCTACCCAAAATGGTCGCGCTGAGCGTAAACACCGTCATCTTCTTGAGACAGCTAGGTTTCTTCTTCTCTCTGCCTCAGTTCCGGCTCCATTCTGGGGGGAGGCAGTTCTTACTGCTGCTTCTCTTCTCAGTCGCATGCCTACTCTCATTCTTTCTGGTCGGTCTCTTTATGAGGCTTTGTTCTCCCAACTTCCTAACTACTCCCTCATTCGTATGTTTGGGGCTGCCTGTTTTGTCCTTCTTCCCGCAAAGATGGGACCAAACTTATTGCCCGGTCTGTCCTTTGTGTCTTTTTGGGTTATAGTCCTACTCAAAAAGGCTATCGGTGTTACGACCCTGTTTCTCGTCGTCTTTATGTCTTCCGTCATGTTTCTTTTCTCGAACGTCTGCCTTACTTTCAGTTTCCTCCTGTCACTGCTCTAGTTTTCAAAGAGGATTTGGTTCGCATTGACCCATTTCCTTCTGAGGTACTGTATGATGAGTACATCTCCACAGTTCCTCCTGAGCTTGTTTCATCTTCTTTTCCTGCTTCACCTCTGGCTGCTTCTCCTCCTTCAGTTTGTTCTCCTTCTCCGTTGTTAGTTTATTCTCGTCGCAAGGCTCCTCCTCCACCAGTTGTCTCTACCCCTACTGCTGATTCTCCTGCTGCTGCCGACTCTGATTCTGTTGCACAGCGATATCCTACTCGAACGCGTCATCCTCCAAACAGGTTAGGTATGTTTTTCTGCTTCCTATCGTACTTTTTTGTCTACTATTCACTCTTTTTCAGAACCTCAGTCTTACAAAGAGGCATGTCAAGACCCTCATTGGGTTCACGCTATGGAAGATGAGTTGTCTGCTCTACAGAAAACTAGTGCTTAGGAGCTAGTTCCTTTGCCTGCTGGTAAGAACTTGGTTGGTTGTAAATAGGTCTACAAAGTCAAGACTCATTCTGATGGGTCTCTTGAGCGCTACAAAGCTCGCCTGGTTGCCAAAGGTTTCTCTCAGGAGTATGGTATTGATTATGAGAAAACATTTGCTCATGTTGCCAAGATGACTACTGTCCGTACTTTGATCTCTGTCGCTGCTATTCGTTCTTGGCCTCTTTATCAAATGGATGTTAAGAATGCTTTTCTTAATGGCCATCTCACTGAGGAGGTTTACATGCGTCCTCCTCCTGGTCTTCCCCATTCCTCTGGTCAAGTTTGTAGTCTTCGGCGTGCTCTGTATAGTATGAAGCAGTCTCCTCGTGCTTGGTATGATCGTTTTCAGACTGCTGGTACCGAGCTTGGGTTTCATTCTTCTGCTTCTGACTCTGCTTTATTTTTGAGACATACATCGGTTGGTTTTGTTGCTCTCTTACTCTATGTGGATGATATGATCATCACTGGCTCTGACTTTTCTGCTATCTCTGAGGTCAAGCAGCATCTCTTCCGCACCTTCGAAATGAAAGATTTGGGTCCATTACGGTATTTTCTTGGTATTGAGGTTGCTTCTTCTCCAAAGGGTTATTTTCTGTCTCAGGCTAAGTATGCTAATGAAGTCATTCACCATGTTGGTCTTACTGATACTAAGGTTTTTGATACACCTATTGAGCTTAATGTGAAGCTTAATTCTACTGATGGTGTCCCTCTAGATGATCCTACTTTATATCGCGAGCTTATGGGTTGTTTAGTTTATCTGACTATCACTCACCCTGATCTTGCTTATGCTGTTCATGTGGTTAGTCAGTTCGTTTCTACTCCTCGCTCTACCCATTGGGCTGCTTTGGTTCGCATTCTTCACTATCTCAGGGGTACCATATTTCAAGGCTTGCTATTGTCATCTACTTCTTCTTTGGACTTGGTGGCCTATGTTGACTCTGATTGGGCTAGTGATGTTACTGATCGCAAGTCTACGTCTGGTTTCTGTATGTTTCTTGGTGATTCCTTGATCTCTTGAAAAAGTAAGAAACAATCAGTCGTTGCCCGCTCTACTACTGAAACTGAGTATCATGTTATGGCTCATGCCACTGTTGAGATTGTTTGGCTTCGTTGTCTTTTGTCTGATTTGGGTGTCTGTCAGTCTTCTCCGACCTCTCTTTATTGTGACAACCTCAGTGATGTTCAAATTGCCCACAATACTGTCTTCCATGAGCAGACAAAACACATTGAGATTGATTGTCACTTTGTTCGCTAACATTTGCAGTCTGCCTTTATCTCGCTTCCTTTCATCCCTTCAGCTTTGCAACTTGCAGACTTCTTCACCAAGACTCACACTATTACTCGGTTTCAGTTTCTTCTTAGCAAACTCTCCGTGTTTTCTGCCAAAACACCTTGAGTTTGAGCGGGGGTGTGAGAATATATTGTGAAATATATTGTGAGTCTTACAAATTAACTTTGAGTCCTATTAGAGGCATGATTGTATTATTGTATTAGAGTCCTATTAGAGTCATGGTCGTATTGTATTTGTATTTCCTTTTTGGTTTAGGAGTTAGGGCTATATATATTCTAAGGTCTGATTGTAATGGACACACATTGAATATATGAGATACAGAAAGCTATTCAGAAATCTTACAGTCCCCCTGTCGCCACTAAATCATTAATGACCAAAACACGTTCCCCAGGTTGAATAGCCCCAAGGTGCATCTCTAAACAATCAGTACCATACTTGAGCTCATAGTCTTCGAAGATAACTTCCCCTATATATTGCAAAAAATTGACATTTTCACTTCAGATTTTATCAGAAAAATTTAATTATAGAAGGCAGGAACTGATAACAGTAACTAAATTCCAAACGCCACAATGAAGTTGAGACAGTTATCAAGAAACATGCTGCTACCAAACTTCAATCACATATAGGTGCCTAAATACT